CCCTTTTGCTGACCCTGCTGATTAGGGGTTTGTTCAGACTGAACACTGTGGAGGAGGCCTCAACCTGCTTCCTCTTCCACATGCCCAGTTCTCTTAATAGATAGAATATAAATTACCAGAAGGCAGGACTAGGCTTGTCTCATCCATCTCTTCTCCCTGTTGTTGGGTGCTGTTAAGTTGATTCCAACTCATAGAGACCCTGTAGGACAGAGTAAAACTGCCCCTTAGGGTTTCCAAGTCTAATCTTTATGGAAGCAAACTAACTGACACATCTTCCTCCTGCAGAATAGCTGGTGGGTTAGAACCACCACCTTTTCAGGTAGCAGCGGAGCACTTAACCATACTACCCCCAGGGCTCCTTTCCTGCTCCCTAGTACTTGCCTGGTACATCATTAACTAATGGGATTGACTAAAGAATTAACAAACGGTAAATGCACTGACACGTGTCCCTCAAGCCAGGTTTACTGACTACTTTGCTCCAGCCCATGACACCCGCTGGCTGTCTGTGGTGGCCACCGTATGAGGCCTGGTCAATGGCTTTGAGCATCTTGTAAGTTATTCTTGCTTCTCAAGCTGAAGATGAGCTGGGATGTTGAGCCTTACAGCTCAGGATTGTCCAGCCAAGGTGGAGGTAAAGGTTTACAGGAAGCTCAGCTGCTGCTAGCATGGCCACAAGTCACCCCTAATCGTTTACAGATGAACAGGTTGGAAATGTGAACTCAACATCCAGGTCCACTAGGAGTATCCCATCCACAGCCGGAGGCCCCCTCAGAACATGAGGTTGGAGTTGGAGAACCCAGCCTTAAGTCCCCACTTCACCACTTACATGCTGTGTAACCTTAGGTTAATTATTTCCCCTCTCTGAACCTCAGTTTTCCCATCTGCCAAATGTGGCTGATGACCGTTACCCACCTTCATTGGAACAGTGGATGAGGAACAGTCCCCTGCCTGATGCATCCAACCACATCCTATTTCCAAAATCCTGTGAGCATTTTCATAAAGTTCTTAAGGTCACATGGCCTCTGGGCCAAGTTAGGCATTGTGGAACATGCTCATGTTGAAACTTTGTCTAGTTTTCATTCTTCCTTCCTGTTTGTTCCTACCCAGTCCCTTTTGTCTGTTCCCTTAAGTTTTGGCATGAGCAAAGGTATAAAGCTGGAGAAGTGGTGGGAACAGCTAGCAAGGGCTGGATGGAAAGCTGTGGAAAACCAGGCCAAGGCTCCAAAATTTGACCATGAGGACCATGAGAAGGTAGGGAAGAGTTTTAATGGGAAGTGATGCTCTTGTATAGAGTTGCACTTTAGGAAGATAAATTGGCTTCAGGGAGGGGTACAGGTAGACTAGAGAAAGGGTGATGAGAAAAAGGAGTGGTGGGGACTCTGAGAAGTTCTTAGAGAGGGGATCATGTGTGAAGGGCCAGGAGCAACAGAGAGCATGGCAAGAAGAACCAAATAACCAAGAAAAGTCTTCTGTGGTCCCAGCATAAAGATGGGTCCAGGAGAGGGTCATGAGATGAGAATAAAGATGTGGGAAGGCATCAGAGCAGACAGGACCTTTCAAACCACATGAAAGAGCATAGACTTCATCCTAAAGGCCACATGATTGGCTTTAAAGAGGGGAATGACAATTAGATTTACATTTTTCAGAAAATCATCTTACTGGAGTGTGGTAAATAAATTCAACAGGAAAAGGCCAGTTGATGGCTATGCTGGGAGCATGGCAGAATGGACATCTAGAGATCCTTACCAACCAATCATCATCCTCAAGTCCCACTCAGGGTGATGTCATGTGTGTCGGGGGGTTCCGTAGGGTTTTTAATGGTTGATTTTTCAGAAGTACCTCACCATGCCTTTCTTCCAAGATGCCTGTGCATAGACTCAAGCCTATACTCTTTCAGTTAGCAGCCAAGCACATTAATTGACACTGTTCTTAGGAGGTAGAAAGACTTAGCAATTGAAGGGATGTGAAACGCAATAGAGGAGTCAAGGGCAAGTCCTAGGAAAATCCTGAGCAACTGTGTGGGATACTTTCCTGAGATGAAAAACACATAGGTTAAGCTAAGCTCAGTTTAGGACAGGGGTTAGCAAACTTTCTGAAAGGGCCAGAGACTAAATATTTTAGGATTTGTGGGGCATATCATATCTCTCACAACTACTTAACTCAGCCACCGTGGCACAAAAGCAGCCATAGATAATATGTAAACAAAGGGACCATGACTGTGTTCCAATAAAACTTTATTTATAAAAATAGATGCAGATGCAATTTTGTTCATGGGCCTTAATTTGCCAACTCCTGATTTTGGACATGTTACATTCAATGTGCCTACTCTGTATCCGCGTGGAAACCCTCAGGAAGCAGTCAGGTAAATGGTCTGAGCTCAAGAGAGAGCCTGAAGAGAGACACTGGGGAGTCATCAGAGTGCAGACAGCCATCGGTGCTGTGCCAGAAGGGAGTAAGGTCAGGAGAAGGGGGTGGTGAGTAGAGTGCCAAAGATGAGGAAGGTTTAAAGGAAACTGGAGAAGGGTTCACTTGTGAGGTAGGAGGCACATCAGGTAAAATGTGTGTCGTTGCAAATGCTGCTGAGATGTAGGATAGGCTGAAAAACATCAATTGGATATAACCAAACAGAGGTCACTTTTGACCCTGGTGAGAGGTAAGAGAGTGTCAAGAGAGTGACAGAAGCAACATTAAAATAGGTTGAGAAGGGAACAAGGGGGTTAAGACAATGGAGATAGCAAGACTCTAGACGACCCTAAAGAAGTAAGGCTGTGGAGATAGAGAAGTGGGAGCTGCGAGAAAAGATTGGCTAGAGGGACTTCTTTTTTTTAATGGTAGAGATTTGTTTAAATGTCATTCAGCATCTAAAGAATAAAAGAAGCATTTAAAGGAGAGAAAGGACTATGGAGACTACAGGAGTGAGGCAGGTAAGAACGGTGATACTATTGCTAACTATTATGAGACTCTGGGAAAAGCCTTACATTGGCCTCCTTGGGTTGATGTGAAGAGCAAACATGATAATGTGCAGACAGTGGTACATTCTCACTAAAGAATTTCCCTCCTTAGCTACAATTGTGAAGATGGAGCAAGACAGGGCAGTGTTTCATTCTGTGGTACACAGGGTCACTATGAGTCAGACCTGACTCTGTAGCACCCAACAACAACAAAGCGTCTTCCTGCCTTCCTCCCACCCGGCTTCCGGAAGGTGGGCGGGACTCTGAGATCTGCACTTCCCAGCTTTGCCGGCAGCACAGGTGATCCAGGAGCCTCTTGGATAATGACTTTCCTCCGCACTTCTGTGAAAGCCTAAATCAATGCTTTTTTTTGGCTTGTTTTTATAAAATCAATAGGAATAGCAAGAACATAAAGTAGGTCTACCCTAGGGCTTCACAGATGTGCTGGAGGCAAGATTTATACAGGAGTTTCGATCTCCTCTGCTTGTTAAATCAGTGAGTGACTGCTCTCTAATTGGTCTGGAGTCAGGCTTCCAGACCCATGTTTTAGTGGGCAAAGGAGAGCCACAGGCCCTTTGCTGCCTGATGATTCTATTATAAGTTAGTGGGGAGGGTCTGGCTTCGTGCTTGATCCAGGATAGTGAAAGAGAACATGGTGCAGCCTAAGCCCATTTGTGTGGTACTGATAGTGGCTGAAGAAACAGCAGGAAGTGGGTACAGCTGAAACTTGGACTGAAACCGAAACACAAGGGAGATGGTGATGATGAAAGGCTTGGGGAGGAGCGAGGACTTGCTGCCCACTGGGAGGGGCCCTCAAGCCAGCCCATTCCTTAGTCCATCCCTAGGGTGACTCTGTGTAAACTTCAAAGCTAAAGTTATATTCAGATTAACTTGCAATTTGCAAATATTTTGAAAATGTTACTCATTAATGCTGAATAGTTTTCAGCAGAACTTCCAGACTAAGACAGACTAGGAAGAAAGGCCTGGTGATCTGCTTCCTAAAATCGACTGACAAAAACCCTGTGGATCACAATGGTCTGATCCGTTGTGCACCGGGGGTGGGGTGGGGGGGGTATCACCATGAGTCAGGGTCCAACTCAGTGGCAGCTAACAAGAACAACATGCATCAATAGCCCAGTTATGTCTAGGAGTCTATCTTAAGGAGAAATCAGAAATCCAGATGAAGCTGTATTTTCCAGGATGTTGACAGCACCATTATTTACAAGACTGAAAAATCAAAAGCAGCTAGATGTCCAATAGTGAGGAAATGGTTAGAGAAGTTACAGTATATCCACAGGATAGATTAAAAAGCCACAGAAAATATTTATGAAGAGTGTTTAATATTTGCAAAGAGTTTTTAATGATGTGGGAGAATGATAGTGATATGCTGAATGGGGAAAAAAAGGGTCACAGATTGTACAATATGAGGCCAATTATTGAAAACAAAACAAAAACATAGAAACAAAGACAGAAAAGGAAATACACCAAAATGCCAAAGGTGGGCTCTAATTGGAGGAATTCTACAACTTCCTACTTTCTTAATGGTCTACCATATACACGGATTACTTCTGTACTCAAGAAGAAAAGTAAACCTTTTAAAATGCTGTGTATGTGGTTTCCATGTTTATTTTCTCCGATGAGTGGTTGCACATCAGCAAATCTTGAATTAGGCTAACTACCGAGGCTGGTCACAACACATACATGGGTATAGAGAGGTCACACAGCTGTGCTTGGCTGGCTGTAGCAAATGCACATTGAGTTACAGAGATGGAATTGTTATGCCGAGTGATGAGACACAGTTGGATCAGGCCGCCTCTCATGCCTGTGCTGTTCTCTCCAGATGTAAAGTCTGTGGTCCAGGCTGGCGGGATGGTGTCCTGCTAGCACTCCCTCTGGGCCCTGCAGTGGGTGGGGAGAGCATCTCTCTTGGTTCCTTCCCGTCTGCCCTGCCTTGGGCATTGGAGCCTCCAGGTCTCTGCTACCTCTTCTGAGCACTGGGTCTTCTCCAGCCTGGCCTTCTCATTTCTGTTGTGCTTCCCACTCCTGGGGCAGACACAGCAAGGGAAGGAAGAGCCAAGAGTGCAGTGCACACATTCCAGATATGAACTGTGCACAGACACAGGCTAGGAGAAAGTGGGAGATGTAACCATCATACCACACACAGAAGCACAGTCTTTACAGATGGGCCCTCTGTGTCCCCAAGAATGCCACACCTATGGCGCCTGAGAGACATGTGGGCTATGTGGAGCCCTTCAGGGCACACAGCCCCTGGGGAAGGGACAGATGGGATGGGCTATTCCCATTGGGGGCAGGCCTGACAGCAGATCGGAGGGTGAATGGAGGATGTGTCCAACATGGTGCCAGGTGGTTGAGAAGTCACAATTGTATACACCAGGGAACCATGCCCCTCTCCCAGTCCATTCACAGGTGGATTAGATACAACTAGATAGAAGTGGAGATATACCTTTTCAAAGGAGGACCTTTCCTGGTGGTTGGATAAACAGTGAGACAAACTCCTGGGTTTAGCATGCTCTGGGGAGGGCCATGCGACAGTGAGGAACTCCTTATTGATACACTCTATACAGGACGGCTGGGCCTGCCCACCACACCCACGGCCCTTGGCAGCAGTCACAGGCTTGCCTTCAACCCCTTCTGCCTTGGAGAGCTCTTGGGCCCCGATGAAGTGGGGGCTATGAAGACAAGAGGGTGGGAGGAGGTCCCCACGGCCCTGGGGGCACCCCACATGGGGGCTACATGATGTTGCACTGGGTGGCCCCACAGCAATCCTTGATGAGCGCCAGCCCCGTCTTGGCCACTGTGGGCTTGCTAGGTGGGGGCTCTGCTTTCTTCTCTGCCCGGGAGCCTGTGGCAAGGTAGGAGCACAGAGGAAGAGAGGGAGAGATGAGGTGAGGAGACCCCTGACCGTCTGTAGCTCCAGCCCCACCCAACACCTGGTCAGGTCTTGCTGAACTCCACAGGCCAGGTGGTGTGGCAATGACAGCTGATGGGTGTTTAAAATGATCCTGGTGATTGTTGCCACCTCCCTTTGGGACCACTGGCTTTCAGTTCTCAGTTTCCAGCCACAGTTTCAGCCCTTCTATTCATCTCTCCTCGTTGATGCATCTGCAAAGCCTAGCACAGGGCCTGACATTCAAGAAGAATTTGGTAAATGGATAAATGGATAAATTTTGTTAAAGTCATTTTGGTATGAGGCTGCATATCTTTCAATTCTAGAAAATACTTATACATTATCTTTTCAGATATTGTTCTACCTCCATTACTTGTTTTCTTGCCTTTTGGAATGTCTATTAGATGTGAGTTGGACCTTGTCATTCGATCCTTCACGTCTCATAACCTCTCTCTTATATTTTCTATCTCTTTGTTGTGCTGCATTCTTGCTAATTTCCTTAGATTTGTCTTCTAGTTTATGAATCTTCCCTTTAGCTGTGTTCCTATATTTAATTTGCTCTTTAACCCATCCACTGAGTTTTAAATTCAGTGACAATATTTTTTTTAAAGAAAGTTATTTGCAAATCTACCTATTCCTTTTCCACATATCCCACCTTTTTATTTTTGGTTTTCATTCCGTCTCTTATTCCTTTAATTATTTTAAATATTCTTAGTTTATTGACTCTTTTAGATAACTATTTTTGGTTCTTGAGATGACAGATGTTCTCTTTGTTGTATTTACTGACTCCCCTCATGATGGTCCATTTCCTCATGGCTTTAAAATTTGTATTAAGAGCTCATCTTTGTGGGGGTTGTTTTATCTGTGGGAGTCTGTGTACTGTGGGATTCAGAAGGGTCTCTATTGAGCAGTTTTAATTTGCTTTTTTCTGGGGTCCTAGAACTATTACTAGTTTTAGACTAGTTATATTAATTTTTCAATTTAGAATTTTAACCTCAAATGGTAGTACAAATTCAGACCCATACTTGGCCCCTAGTATTTGACACAGGCTTGGTGTTTTGATTTCTTGCCAGAATTATTTCTTTTTTCTATCTACAACCCTGCACTGAAGGTATGTTTCCTCATTCTTTCTCCATGCTGTTAAGTGGAGTTTTTCTTATTTGTCTTTCATAAGAAGAAGAATCTGGCTTTAGACAGTGACCATGGGCCTGGTGATTTTAAGGGCCAGTAGACGGGATGACAGCCCTTTTTCTTCACTTCCCCTCCCACTACAACCATGTTTTCCTGCAATGTTAGTGGGTGTCAGTGAAAACTGAGCTTAGTAGTAGATAATGGCAGTTTTGGATTTTGCCTTCCCAGAAAGATTTCCAATCTCTCTTCCTTCAGAAACAAACTGTGGCTGCAGGAGCAGATATATGACACTGACCTGTACAATCACAATAGCCACTCTCCTGATGACAGTGAATGGCCTAAGAGATGGAAGCATAACCCAAGAAGGGCAAATCAGACTCTTTCTCTGTGATTTATGGATTTTCGTACCAGAGGACAGAGTCTGTAGCATTGCCTTGGGGGTGCTAAGCTATCATTCTGGCCTCATGGAAAAGGCTTGTGTAGTAGGAGAAAATGAGGCCAGCATGCAAAGAAGGTCAGAGATAAGAAATGGAAGGAAAGTGAGGGAAGTTGAACAAGGTTCAGTCCCAGAGGTCCTGGTTTGTGTTGCTCTTCTTTCAAGAAATCCCTTTCTTGCTTTAAGCAGATTTGGATTAGGCATCCATTTCTTGTAACTGAAAGATGCCTTATTGATACAACAGCAGTATATTTTAGAAACATTGTAACAACAAAGAGATCATTCTTTGACAGCAGGACCCATTATCACTTTAATACGCTAATAGACATTGGGATCCTCCAAGTAGAGGGTCACAAGTAGAGGGTCAAGTATGCAGCATTTCCCAACCTTATTTCATACAGAAACCTTTTTCTTTTTTTTTTTTGCTTAGGGTATTTTGTGAGTCTAATATTCTGAGAATACTTCCTGCTCCAGTCCTTTAGAGATTCCAGTCCCACAAAGGCTACATACAGCTCCCTGGGCCTCAGTCTCTCCTTCTTGGCTTGGTGCCTACCCAGCTCCTTCTATGAAATGCACCAAATCATATGGTTAAGGAAGGGCAGCTGGCAGCAGAACCCAGTGCAAAATGAAAATGTGGGACCTCTTGTTCAAAAAAGGGAGATGCTGGGGTGGTGCAAATGGTTAAAAGATTGACTACTAAGAGGTTGGCAGTTTGAACCCACTCAGAGGTAACTCAGCCTTCCTTAAGGCCTGGTGATCTACATCAGAAAGGTCACAGCTTTGAAAATCCTATGGAACACATCTGGGGTCACCATGAGTCAGAACTGACTCAAAGGCAAGTAGTCTAGTTTTTTAGTTTTGTTTTGTTCAAAAATTATTTCAAGATGGTAGCAGCACAGCATTAAACCAAATGAGGGCCCTTCTAAGTGTGGGTAAAGCCAGCCTGCCAGGTGCCATTCTATGGGTCAATGAAAGCATTTCCTTGTGTGCCCTTTGGCTCCCAGACTTCTTTAAAATTTCCTTTGCTCTTGGTGCCAAGGGGTAGGGTGGGAGAATGGGGGAGGGTAGGAATCATTTCTGCACTCACTGGCTGGAGATTTGGTTACTTTGTCTAGAGGTTTTAACTTGATTCTCAGGAAATCAGCCATTTCCTTGTCTTCTTCTTGTTCCCTGTGAAGGCAGATGTGAAAGAGAAAAGTCTGGTAAACAAGGAAAGCATCAAGGAACCAATGAAATGAGGCAAAAGTTTAATTAGATGGGATCATAGGTCAGTTTTTGTGGATGGTGTGCATATGTTGTTGAGTGTTATATGTGTTCGTTTTGTTAAATGAAACTGGTCTGAAGCAGAGAGATGTATCAACAAAGGTAAATGTTGATCTGGGGACAGGGTGAGATCCCAAAGCAGGGACAGGGAACTTACAGGACCTATTTTTGTGCTGGGGGCTCAGTGAGTTGGTCAATACCTCTTGACCCTGTGCCTTTAAGCCACCTTAGATACCTGTGCCTCCATGAGGTGGAGGTGCATGATAGAGAAAGTCCCCTTGGCTCTTCAAGGCTCACCAGGAGCAAAGTTGGTGAGCCCAGCCTAGCTGAGCTAGGCAAGTGCATCCCCGAGAGCAGCCTTAGAAACCCAGGGAGTGAGGAGGATGTTGACCTCAGAGTTGGGAGAGGCCCTGGGAGCCAGGGTGACACTGCACTCCTCTCCTTTGCTTAGGGACAAAAATATTCAAGAATCAACATTCACAGCCTTCCTGTCCCCAGTTGTCTTGGGGCCTTCAGATCTGCACCATGGGCTCACAGTCTTTGTTGCACTGATTCATCAACGGGACAGGCATGTCTGAAAATTTCTCCCTGACTGCTAGGAAAGGGCATTGGGACCTTTCTCTAAAGAAAGGAGACAGGAAAGGACAAGCGTGGGTAGTTGAGGGAGCAAAGGAGAAAACAAGTCAGTGCAGGGGACAGAGTTTCTATAGCGAATGACTGGAATTTCCCGCAGTTGCCTGGGTATGAGGAGAACACTCAATGAAGAGAATTGGAAAGAAGCTCTGAGGCCAAAAGGTCAACAATTACTCTAAAGCAAAGATGAGAAGACAAGGGTGCAAGGAAACTAGAGCACTGGGAACATAACAAACAGAAAGCAATAAAAGAGAATGTTGACTGAGAAAAATGTAAATGATGTCACTGAAGAAATTGTATAGAAATTGTCAAATGGGCACCTAATTTACTGTGTAAACTTTCACCAAAAACACAATAAATATGTTTAAAAAAGAAGAAGAAGAAGAAGAATAGCTCTGCAGTGTGTTATATACTCCTTTCTCATCACTTCTTCAAGCAACATTGACTGTGGGGAAGGCTGTGTGCATATTGGGACAAAGTAGACAGCTGTTTTCAGAGGAAGCTCAGGGTTGAGTAGCAGTTCCATGAGGGGCCTACAGCCTACTGACCTTAATCGCTCGACCTCCGCATCATCCACCAGGAAGTCTCTCTTCTGCACCAGTTTGTGGATCTTCTGGATTAGCTCGTCTTCTCTCTGCTTCTGCAACTTAGTTTTTTCTTTTTCTGGGAAGAAAAAAACAGCAAAAGAACAGATGAGTGTAACTACTGAAACACTGGATCCAGGGGGCCAATGGTGGAAGCCTGGCTCTGCCATTTCACTTGCCATGGGAACTTGGCAAAGCAATGCCACCTCTTCAAGCCTCAGTTTCCTCATCTCTAAAACATATGGAGTAGTCATGCCACCAGATGGAGTCATTATTAACATCTTAGACTCATACTGTTGTTGTTGTTATTTGCCATC